CGCATACGGTGCAGTGAAAGTACATCTGAGTTTCTTGAACAGCGCTATCGCAACTGTCGCAGAAGATGGTGGACAATCTGCCGTCGTTTCGCCGAATGCAAGCATCCGCTTCGTAGTAGAGCGCTGAAATGGACCTGCACACCCGAAGGCTGCGTAGCTCGTGCCACTTGTGTTGCTGCATCAAGACCGTGTCGAGGAACTTCAAGACATACGGACTGCGCCAAGGTGCGACTTCGCAAGAGATCTTGACGAGGTTCACAGCTTCTTGGAGGACTGCTTCGCATGCCAGAAGCTGACGCATTCGAAAGAGAAGCCTTGCAAGATCTTCCAAGATCAGAAGAGCGACCTTGGGGCGATTTGCCTCGCACGCTACAAGCCACGCATTACGCAGCTGATCGTGCGCCTGCTCCAAGCAGCCCTCACCAAGCTTCGACAGCGCAAGCAATCGCATCACCTCTGCGTCGGAGCGGATGGCAAGCGTTGCATCCTCATCATCGCAGGCGCCTGCTTCTAGGGTATGCCGAAGGTCTCGATGCCTGCCCTGCTCGAGGAGAATCCATCCGTACACGATGCGAAGACGCAAAGCGTTCTTAATCTTGTTCCGTCTAGTCGATGTACGGACGAACCCATTCCGCAGAATGTTGAACAGGTAATCACTCAGTTCCCACACCATATCTCCATGGGCGTAGGCACGGCTCAGAAGCGTGATGGGGTTCAGCGGGCCAAGCTCTTCCAGTGATGACTTTTCTAGGAACGAGCAGATGACAGTCCGTGTCTCCAACAGTTCATCGGTTTTCCAAGGGACCAAGAACTGCAGGATATAGATGAACGATGCAGGATGCTGAGAGTGCAATGCAGGCTGAGCCTTCACACCCGCATCTTTCAGCATCCTCCAGCCGTGCTGCGTAGCGCCTGCACGTAGGCAGTATATTGCTTCTCTGAAGTCATGGGCGAGTGACGACATTGGACAGCGTTCCATGTCCCACTCGGTATCAAACTTGGTCTCCCAGAAGTCATCGTACCACGCGAGTACGGCATTCAGTGTCCTGCACAAATGCACTCTCTCCGCCGGCGTTCGCAGAGGTCTCGCAGGATTGTTGGATGAGACCATTGCCCTGTTCGGGATGGCCGGAGAAGTGGAGTCATCGACTGGCGAAGCATCTGTGCTATGAGTTGACTCCGCTAGCATCGTTCCTGAGGACACTGTAGAGGATGCACTCGAGACATCAGAGAACGAATGATTCACATCTGCGCCTTCGGCGGTTCTGCCAGTGCTATGTCGGAATTGCCCAGGGGTAGGTCCAAGCATGTTATTTGGTAGACTTTGTATTTTTGTCGAGGTGCGGCAGATCGTTCTAATGGGACATTTGTGCCCTTTCCGCTTGTTCTTATATCTGTGCCACTTCTTGAGGCGGTCACGCAACATCTTCTCACTAATGCATGTCGGTCAGTCACTGCATTGACTCGGTATCATCGCCGTGGCTACTGCGGAGGCACCTACGTGGCCACGAAACCACAGGCTTTGAGTTCATCGAGTATCGACCTAGCAGTGCGTTGCTTTTCGGTATATAACTGGATGATGTGGACGCTGTACGGTTGCCAGTCATCTTTAGAGGGCGGATTCGAAGGTGCTGGCAACACGTGAAACGCACCACCTGGCAGAGCACCAACGACAGACATCATTACGGCGAAGAGCGAGTCTGCGCGTGATGCAGCTTCTTAAATGTGAGGCGAGTCGTGGCCTTTAGTAGCTCACTCATGGAATACGTGTGGATGACGCCAGTGCTCCGAAAGGCTGCCAGGCTGCCATTGGGAGCACTCGTACGGTTCGAGATGTCTATCCTCCCCTATGGCCGTCTTGGAATGAGGCGGGTAGCTGGTGACTGAGGCGATGGAAGCCTCACCCTGTGGAGGACGGTACATCTCTTGGCTGCCTCGCGCTAAAAACTACCTGCATTAGCGACGGATGGACCTTGTGATGGTGGCAGCTGCTGACTCCCCAGCACCATGACGACGGGGCTTTCGCGCTAAAAGATACGTGCATGTTGCACGGCAACCTCTGCGCTGAAGTAACGGTCAGCCAAAGCACGGACTCGCAAAGCTCCTGGCGCAACGACATGGAGGCTTGCAAGTTGCCAGCAACTGATCTTAAAGGCATCCCGATGAGTGGGTATCAGCTCAACCATCTTAATCATGGATTTGGTCGACCGGGTCGGGCGAGGAAAGTTACTGGTGATGCAAGCTGACATGCAGCAACTGCTCCTCATCAATCACCTTATGTGCTCCGAAATCCTCCACTTTGCAGATGGTCATATCACCTATGCAGTATGCTAGCGCGATGTGCGTTCAACACGAGCAGACCATCGCGGTGCAGATGAGGATCTGTTTCCAGAGGAAGAATTGGAGCATTGGTTAGGCTCTCCAACTTCAATGTCTCCTCCCTGACGATGCACGCAAACGCAGTAATCCGAGTCGAGACCCAGCGCAATACCCAATATACGGAGAAGGGGGATAGGGTTGCTCAACCCCGTGTATAGGCCTGTCATGCGTGGCCGGTAGATCCGAAACATCAAACCGTGACGGACTCCTCTGAGCGACTCCAAAACGTATGTCGGTGCGTGAAGTTTATCTTGGGTAGTGTATGACATCAGTCGTAGTGCTGCGTGGTGGTCCGTGGGAAGCAAATGCAGTGCCGAGGTGAGCAGCATTGTCTCGTCGTTGGGTTGTCCGCGCGGAAGCGGCTCCAAAGCAAGAACTATGAATAATTCTATGTCTCGGCTGCATCACGCGCAGCGGCTCTTCCTCTGCAATGCTGGTTGCAACGACGCACCAATTTCAGAGTATAGCCGTCCTTGAGCTTTGGGAGGCAACGGACCGAGTTGATCTTGGCGAAGGACGGATCGCGATCATTCATCGAGTTGTCTCGGCTTCTCGTGCTGTCGTGGGGTTGTTCTCGGACGTTGGGCTTCGATTGCAAGCCACACTAGGCCGTCGATGTTAGGCAGCACCTGGCATAAGCAGAGATCAAAACCACCACGCATTAGCGGCGGGAGGCAACTCCGTCTGCGCTAACAAGTACGGAGGGTTACCTGCAGATCTAGGAGTGGCTATCAAGAGGCTCTGTATTTAGGGTAGTCTCTTCTGCCGACGTATGCCAGGTACATAAGCCTTCCTGGTACTTTTTAGCGTCCCCGGGATCGCAACCACAATCAATGGCGATTCATGAAAATGAGTCGCCGCATGGTAGCTTTTACGGGGTTGCCACTTGCCAGATCGGATGCCTGCCCTCGCGAGACCGAGCCTCGACGCCTTCATCTCGTGAAGGGTATTGATTGGCAAGTACAAAGGCTCACCCACAGCTCCCATGTGCATTTTGGTGATGACAGTGCGTTTTTCACCCCGTCCTATTCACCATCATCCGACGCTGTAGCACAACGGTTTAAGGTGAGTTGCTACTCGTTAGGCTCTGACAAATCCAACTGACGGTGGCTGCGACAGTAGAAGACATGGCAGCAAGTCTTTCCAATGCAGCTGGACTATCCGCAAGCCTGATGGTGTCCACGGACCACACCCAGTCCCAACACTGTGGCAAGTCTACCGCAGTATGCTCAAGCGCAGCCACCCGTGGAATAGCCACCACAGACACTGGGAATGCCGGCAAACATCAGGGTTCCAATTGCGTCAAGGACCTAGGCCAGCCATCTTGTGCTCTGATGCGCTGGCTACACGAACCCGCAAGAGAAGGACATTGGGACCTCCTGAAGCTTTCAAGGCGTTGAGTCGTCGTTGGACGGATGGATTGGTGCCATCGAGTGTCAGTGGTACTGTTTCTGTCGTAAGAGCATCATATGCAAGATGCTGACCGCCGGGCCAGGTCTCCGGTACATATGGGACTCGGGAGAAGGAGTGACCGATGGTTTGGCAGGGACACGCTTAGCGACATATTCACCAAACTTCAGCCGGGTTGACCTTGATGTTCTCGCCGTTCGGTCGGACTGTCTTCCGCTGCTTGTCCCGCTTCAGCGGCTTTCGCATATCGTATGCATCACTGCCGTCATTGTAGTAGTCTGTTATTCTCCGGTAGACAGAGTATCTGATGGCTCAGCATTAGCGGTAGCACATGAGTAACCAATATGTATCCTGAGCAACGCACCCCATCTTCTTGTACAGCTTGATCGCAGCCTCGTTCTCCACCCTTACGAACAGATCAACGAACCAAGCATTGTGCTCATCACCAGCCTGCTCCAGTGCCTCGGAGAGCTTTGTAGCGTGCCCTAACCGCCTGGCCGCCGGTGCTACAGTGAGGCAAGTAATGTGAGCATGCCATGGCAGGTAGTTTGGATACTTCTTCTGGTAGATCTTCAATCCTGGATCATATGGCTCCACTGGCGCTTGGTCAGGTGATGCTTCGACTTTGCCGAGGACTGTCGTATGATTAGTGTTGTTCAGCGCGTAGTCCGCGCCTTCATGTTTTACACACTGTATGCTTCGATTTGACCATTTGCGCCTTCGATGACTTTGCAGAGCTGTGGCCACCGGGTAAAGTAGTCAAGGTAGAAGCCGATGTTGTAGGTTTCGGTGAGGTGATCCAGGTTACACGGGTTGAATTTGAGCAGGTCCATAGGCGTCATTGGTCGGAGGGACGACATCATGGTGGTGGCTGCAGCCGTTCGGCGTTGATGGCCAGGCCGAGAGCTGCTTTCTTGGAAGCTCTGCTGCTCACGCGAGCACGATACCGCGTCTTTCCTCACTCAAACTTGTGCCTTGCAGTCACTTGCTGCACCGGCGAACGCACATGTCGAATTTGGGACGGGTAGCAGACATCACGGGAGAAGACGCCTGTATTCTTCGGATCTTGAAGGGTCGTGTCGGTTAGTCAGCAACGACGCCTAACCGGAACGGATCTCCTGCCGCAAACGCCGCGAAGTCCGGAGATACATCGGCTACATCGAACTCAACGTATATGTAATTAAACGGTCCTCAACCCAACATCAATCCAAGGATGTGTGGCCCAATGGCAAGGCGCTTGACTACGATCTACTATGTTATCAAGAGATTCTAGGTTCGATCCCTAGCACGTTCAAACTTCACATCAATCACATCACCATGTGATGATATCGCTTTTGCATCCCTCGGACGATGGTGAGTTGTCCCCACGAGATTACATAGGCGATGTGTAGTTCGTTCGGTGCATTTTGATATAACGTTTATCGTATTGGACCGGCTAAGCGATGAGACCGGCTAAGCGATTAGCGCGCTTTTTGTGATCCTCAGTTTTTTCGTATAAGAACATAACGTACAGTACGATGCAATAACAGTAGTTACTATAATCGCTTCGAAACAGAGAGAGTACTATAGATAAAGCCTATCTATAGGCGATAATAGAATATTAGCAACCGTATCCTACGACTTATTAACCCAGCAGAAGGCTAACTAGCTGCCTTACGTAACCTATCCTCCTCTCTAACAAACGCACCGTACGACCGCTTAACTAGCAAAGTAAACGTAGCCTTAGTAGCGTACTGCCAGTAGCAGCAGCAACCTCCGCTAGCGGGCTAAAAAGCGCGCTAGTCGCTCAGCCGGTCTCATCGCTCAGCCGGTCCAATACGATATCTCGAATTCGCAAAGGTCTTGGCATCCCGAATTCCCTCCTCGCTCTAACGCAAACGCATGCTACTCTATCAGCTGCCTCATGGCGTCCATGTGATTCTTTTTGAGACGTTGCTGGACGCTATGAGTACTGGGCTGCGATCCTGTAACGAACAGGTGAAAGTCTAGAGGTGCAATTGCGAGTTCGATTCAGAGTCAAGGGCAATGTAGAATCGGCAAAGGCATCGGTGTGTACGAACGGGAACTCTACTGCTGTTGAGCGCTCATGGCTCAGAAAACAGTGTCCTGAAAGTGTTGCAGCTCGCTGTTGAACATCACTTCGCCCTGGGAACGATATGCCTCCTTATTACACCAACTGCCACGCTTCACGACGGAGCACAGTCCTCGCCATCTTCCCGTGTAGGCACATACACACCCTCACTTCCCACGCAACATCATCCTCAGCTCAATCAACCCGTCAACCTCAGCTCAACCAACCCGGATGCTACCTCGAGAATATGCTTCGTGTCAGATCTCTTCCAAGTCATGTCCCGTCGCAACTGTGCATCCACATCATACCCCTCAAAAGCCACTCACAGATCGCGCACCCTGCCCATGACCCCCACATACAGAGTGCAGGGATCATTATTGATCTCCCTGGCCACCACACTCACAGCCTGCTTCGTGCAGTGCCGCACCGATGCGCCAGCTGGGGCACACCGTCGGACGACATGCAGCTTAGTGCGGCAGGCGGAGCACTCGTGCCAGCCTTCGGTGTCCAGTGCCGCGGACGTGGCGAAGTCGTGCTGGACCTGGTTCGCATGCCCAAGGATCCAGGCGTCCATCTCTGGAGCGAACTTTGGTACGATGGCGAAGTGCTCGGCGTTCTCTTGCAGGTAGTCACGGCACAGCAGCACGCATGTGTCGCGGAGGGAGAAGTTGATATTGTGTTGGTAGGCGGCTTTGAGCGCGGCGGTAGCGGTGTAGAGTGCGTGGAGGTGGGGTACGCTGTCGGTGTATACCGTTATGCCGTCTGCTAGATGGTGTGCCTCGAAATAGGGCACTGCTTCTGCGTGGACCTGCTTGCACGTATTGACCAGCGAGGCGTATGTCGAGTAGTGGCAAGACGGCCATTCGGAGGGTAGGCGGTAGGTATCAGTATCGTCGATTCCCGCGCCCTTGAAGACGTCCGTGAAGAGATGGTCGTACATCATACATCGTAGCTCTGGAGGGAGACCGAGTAGCGTGGGAGGCGACATGGTGTAGAGCAGCCGATTCTGTAGCCAGTTCGTATCAATATGGCGTAGACGGTTCGTATCAATGTGAAGCAGCCGGTCCGTATCAATGTGAAGCAGCCGTTTCGTATCGATGTGTGCCAGCCGGTTTGTCTTGATGTTGAGCTAATGTCGAGGTTGCAGGGTCGAGTCGTGCTATGTTTTGACTGCGACTGCTATTCCATCGGTTGGGTGTAGGCAAAGAGAACAAGCCATCAATCGGAATTCGTGCAACGTCAAGATGTAGAGCATATCTCGCCTTCCCCATGGGTAACCGCAATAAAGCTTCCCGCGCCCACGACTCCAAGGAAGAGGCAGCGGCAGCGCGCAGAAACATCACGCAGCGCAAGTCAACTCCAGGGAAGAGGCAGCGGCAGCGCGCAGAAACATCACGCAGCGCAAGTCACAAACCCAGCCCCTCGACCGTCCCACCCCAGCAAGCGGTTGGCGACATCGCTCAGATACCGCTCGTCGCCATCGAGTGCCTGGTCCAGGCCATCGCCGTCCATGCCGTCGCGCAGCATCTGGAGGATCGACGCCGCCGGGTTGGTGGCGTCGAAAGTGCTGCCGTCCATCGCCTGCATGAGGCCACACTTGCTGCCGCCCCTGCTTTGGGACTTGCATGGGATGGATGCTCGACCGGAAGACTGGGTGGAGCGTGTTAGGCGTTGCTCATTGCGATGAAACGGTTTGTGACGATTGGGAGGGGAAGAGATGTTTGCCTACTTCTTGCATCATGAACGCCAATATCAGTCGCGAGTCAAGCGCGCTCTCGCTCGCGACGTGCAGGATGGCTTCTTTGATGTAGTGCTTGATGTACGTGTCGCCGCCGTTCTTGGACAAGATCGTGGCTTCGTTGATGCGCCAGAGGTCGTTGAAGCAAAGCCAACTGCTGGCGGATACCGAGACTGTGCTGTCGCCATTGAAGCACTGGTACTTGCTGTGGATATTCTGCAGCCCGTCGAGGTTGGCGCGTTGGGGTTGGTCGGTCACTTCGGTGGGTTTATTGTTTGTGAAACCGGTGCGGATGCCTCGGTACATTGGCATAGGACTGTTGGTTGGTAGGCCGGCTGAGGTAGCTACGAGGGCCGAGAGCAAGAGGAGCTCGAAGGGCGCCATGGTCGGTGATGCTTGTAGGGAGATTGGTCGGTTCTATCAATGTGGCAGCAACTTGATTGCTGTGCGGTGCGGCTTATTGTGCGAAAGAGAGGTAAGCATGTGGTGACACGAGACGAGGGACGAGCGTTAAGGCTCCGGGGCAAGCAGTGGTATACGTAACATGTACCAGCACATCGCGATCAGGCAACCATAAGAGCGTGCGTGATATACGAAACCGGAAGCCCGTCTAGCTTCATCCTACGGAAGTAATACCCCAAATCCTTCGAGGATACCAACACGGCGTTATAGTGGTCACGCACATGCACAGCCTGGAAGCTTGGGCCCGGGCTCGTATCAGCTCTGCTCGCATGGCGACATGAGCGCCGTGCATGTCGTGCTACCAGTGGCGTCGACCACGTGCGATGAATGGTAGCGAAGCGTGACAAAGGCTGGCCGGCCGCGATACTTCTGACATTTCGTGCCGTGTGTATGCAGGCGGAACACATGCAGCAGCCGCGGCAGTAGCAGTAGCCAGATGATGACAGGCTGGCCGGGCTCCAGTGGCGTCCAGATGGAACATTGGAACAGAGGTACAGAGGTGTGGAGGAGGCGGAGGCGGCAAGATGAGATGAGATGAGGGGAAGGAAAGTGCACGGCCGATTGGTGGTACCGAGGCTGAGTCAGCCGTCCTCACCAATCAGCAAGCACGGCCCGGGCCCGTTTCAGCTGGGAAGCAGCTCCTTCCGATCTCGGCCAATGCCTGTGAACATTCTCCGTGAGAAGCTTGACAAAGCTTGGCCATAGTTACACGCAGCTCCTACAGTACCAATGGCAGCACGAACGCTCCGCATAGGCCTCATACCAGGCGATGGCATTGGTCGCGAGGTCATTCCAGCCGGCCGACGGATACTGGAAGCGTTGCCCACATCGCTGGGCCTGAAGTTCTCCTTCGTGGACCTGGATGCCGGCTTCGAGACCTTCAAGCGGACGGGCGTCGCATTGCCGGAGAAGACGGTGGAGACGTTGAAGCAGGAGTGCGATGGCGCGTTGTTTGGGGCTGTGAGGTATATTTCCTACTCGCAACCTTGGTGATCGTTGCGCACCCGGACTGACCCTCGCTACCATCACAGCTCGCCCACCACCCCAACCAAAGGCTACAGCAGCCCCATCGTCGCCCTGCGCAAACGGCTAGACCTCTACGCCAACGTGCGCCCGGTTAAATCCGTCGCGCCTACACCTGCCTTCCCAGACCCCATTGACCTGGTCATCGTGCGGGAAAATACCGAGGACTTGTATGTGAAGGAGGAGCGGACGTACGATGCGCCCAACGGCCAGGGCAAGATCGCCGAGGCCATCAAGCGCATCTCCGAGCGCGCATCGAGTCGGATAGCCACAATGGCTGGCGAGATCGCAGTACGGAGACAGCGTGTACGCGAGACGACCGGGGGCGACGCGGCAGGGAAGAAGTCCATGGTCACGATCACGCACAAGAGCAATGTCCTCTCGCAGACGGACGGCTTGTTCCGCGCTACAGCGCGCGCCGCCCTCGAGCAAGCGCGATTCCGCGACGCCGGCGTCGCCATCGACGAGCAGATCGTCGACTCCATGGTCTACAAACTCTTCCGCCAGCCCGCCGACTACGACGTCATCGTCGCCCCGAATCTCTACGGCGACATCCTCTCCGACGGCGCCGCGGCCCTCGTCGGCTCGCTCGGCCTCGTGCCCTCCGCCAATGTCGGCGATGGGTTCGCGATCGGCGAGCCGTGCCATGGCTCGGCGCCGGATATTCAGGGCCGCGGGATCGCGAACCCGATTGCGACGTTGCGGAGTGTTGGGTTGATGCTGGAGTTTCTTGGGCAGGAGGAGGCGGCGGCGAGGATTTACAAGGCGGTTGATGCGAATTTGGCCGAGGGGAGGCTGTTGAGTCCGGATATGGGTGGTCAGGCGAGGACGGATGAGGTGGTGGAGGATATCATTCGGCGGCTGTAGATTATACATTGTAGACTTGAAAGTTTGAGTACAGCTACTCATCATCACACCCACACGCCCACGCACACTGATGCGCTCCGTCATATCTCGAATAGGCATCTGATGATCTGAGTTCCTGCCGAATGCGGTGGAC